CCCCAAACAACAATATCAATCTGTAAATTTCAAAATATTGTGATGTAAAACAAAACCAACAACAAAAGCATAAGTTAGTCTAGTAATTTATTGCGGGAATACAAGTATAGAAAGTGAAAGTGTAGAAATATTGTTTAGAGATGCAGTGTTTTTCAAGAAAACGCCTGAGAGGAAAAATAAAATAGGCCATGGGTTGAGGGTTGAGATGATCATGGGAGAGCGGCCACAACAAGGGGCAAGGGAGGCGGAGCCTGTGAATACTTGCCAAGTTGTACATTCTAAAGTACAGAAGTATGTTTATGAGGTAGGGTTGCAGAAGAAGGACAAACACCTTTCTGGTGATATCGTTTAGAATAATAATTATATTATTCAAGTATGGAGTTGTAATTGGCTTGTTTTCGCCTAATAGCGAAGAAACACGTAATCAATTTTATTTGTAGGCCTACTATACTTAGTAAACAGTTAATTCCTTCCGTTTTCATAGTGTAGATAACCAATTTTAAAGCAGTATAAAGTGCAATTCTCGAATAAAGTTGGACGCACCTTTCTTTTCTTTGTTACAATCCAAAACAATAATAATATAGGCCTAGTTAGAGTTTTCCAATAGTTTTAGAAGCATTCATCTACCATACCAAGCAGGCTGCATTCAACTTGTAACTAAGGAGATTATTATTCTATCCCCTACTTGTTGTAACAGGAATAAATCTGGCAACTGCTCCATCCAATGAGAGGTCTCGTGAACAGTACCCTCCGCCCTCCACGGCCAGGCCTAAACTTTTCTGCTACATGGAAGGCTAGTTCCGGGAAAGGAAAAATGGCCTGGTCCTGGTAGCAGTACGCGTAATGTTAGGTCAGGCCCGTGACTTCATATGGCACGTTTCTTTTGTGTGGAATTAATCGACCAGTGTCCCTTTGATACTTGGACTACTTGACGTAGGCTGTGGCTTTTTCGACGCCTTTTCAGTCAAGTTGAAAGAAAACTTTTCAAGTCATCTCTCATCGTCCCAAATCCTCTGCCAAAGTAAGTAATGGACTTTGTGTGGTGTGGAATGTATAGATCTAGATCTAGATCTAGCCTCTCTAGCTAGGCCTAGATATAGTATTATATATCTAGAACTAGATTCTAGGTCTAGATATTGTGTGAATGACTTGATCCATAATTGTATTGTAGCTCTGTGTTACGTAAATTCTTTTAATTTTTGAGGTCATCTAAGATCTAGAAAATCTAGACTATATATCTAGATCTAGATCTAGGCTGGTTCCGCCAGTTTCACATGTAGATCTAGATTTAGATCTTCGCCGCGCCTCCTCCCATTACTTATTACTGCGCAAATAATAAAACCGACTAGATCTAGATATCTAGATCTAGATCTAGAATCTAGAATCTAGATCTAGTCTAGATCTAAATACTCTAGTTAGTCTTGTAGTGGGCGACATAATTATGTAATGAGTAATGCAACTACTGTGTGACTAGAAGATTCTCTAGATATCTAGATCTAGAAATCTAGATCTAAATCTATATCTGGATCTAGAAATCTAGTAGATTAGTAGATCATACTAGAATCTAGATGTAGATCTAGATCTAGTCTAGATATAGATCTAGATCTAGATCTAGATAGATCTTGATTTTTATATCTGTATATAGATTTAGATCTAGATCTAGATTCTAGATCTAGAGCTATATGTAGATCTATATAATCTATCATTCTATCTATAGTCTAGATCTATATCTAGATCTAGACTCTATATTCTATATCTTTATCTATTATATAAATCTAGATATAGATCTAGATCTATCTATATTCTAGATCTATAAATGTAGCTATATAT